GGCTGTGTGGGTGATTACTTTTGAAGTTTAGGATTTGATCTGTATGTGTTCCCTTGCGGTAGACCTTTGTCTCCAATTTTTCCTGATGGCGTTCTGATGATCAAAATGTCCAAAAATGCCTTCTCGATCTCCATTGTGAACTTGATGTCATTGAATATGTTATTGATAATGTTGTACGTTCGTTCTAGTTTCGACTTCTTCAAGATGACGAATGTGTCCTCAACGTATCGAAGCCAAAGTTTTGGCATGATTCTTGGTAGTACCTTCTTCTCCAGCTTCTGCATTAAGGCTTCGGCTATGAATCCAGAAATTGGTGTTCCTTTCAGATGTTCGTAGATTTTACCCTCGAACTTGAAGTACGTCTGCATGCATAGTCCCATGAGTTCGCAAATGGTATGGTGGGTGCTCAGTCATCAGTTCTCGCAACGTGGATCTTGCCAGGTCCAAGTCGATTGAAGTGAACAAAGCGGTGACGTCGTCTTCTTGGATGTTGACAGTTTTGAGCTTGTTCAGGAACTGTCTTGAGTTCATGACACTATACTCGTGTCCAGTGATGGGCGGATTCAGTTGGCCAATCCCGTTCAAAACACGCCAGAGAATTTCTCGAGGCCTGGCACTCTTCAATCAACACAATAAACAGGCACATCGAACTGGATCACGTGTGCACGCCAATACAACTGAAGGACCAAATGACGCAACAAAGGTCATGCCGTGACCTGAGAACAGACGGAAACCGCAATCGGGACGAGAGGACAACTTCCTCCCCTCCCACCCCACCCGCTCGCAGCAGTTCAACGGCGGGCCGAGTCGAACACAGTGAGAACAGGGGACGAAAATTGCCGGTGGAGAAGATCGCATATATAAACGAACGGGTACAGGCAGAACACTGCCACTTCACAAGCACTGATGATGTCACCTCGGCTGGTGATGGAACGTTTGCAAACAAATTGCCAAGCTCGGTGAACCGGCGAAATGGAATTCAGTTCACCCGAGCTACGGGAACCGATTTTTTTTTGTCCACAGTATCCAAGAAAGCCAGGTGTTGCGCACGCGTTGATGATTCATACTACACAGTCACAGTGCTCTAGACTGGGCTGAACACGCATAAAAGAAAGATGTGATGATCCATTGGGATAACGTGTGGGTGACAGTGTAATCGCTAACGTTGCCCATGTCTCCGACCGTTGTTGCGAAAGGAAGGCTAGAGACTGTCTATTTATTGCTTCGCAAAACGGAATTAAAGATATAGCCAGGCAGATCGCGTTCAACTTCTCAATCCCCACTCCGTTCGAAGATAACAACAATGAGGAACATATCCAAATGCTGTCATATACTACTACTCATGTGGTTTATGCGTCACTTCTGGCTACTTATATCGTATGANGATTATTGGACGCGATTTCGTTTTAATCTAACACATCGATTCAAACAAGACCAACAAAAGGGTAAAACGAATAATTCACAGATATTTAAGTCATCATCTTTGACACAAATTAGGCACGATCTTTTACCGTCTTTTTTGTGATGAAAATGATCACAAAGCTAGATCAGGTTAGGTCAGCATGGAAAAAGGTAATGAAAATGAGCTCGCTCAGTCACGCAAACAGACATCGAATGTTGCGATGTGAGGTGAGATGAGGTGACGCCAGTTATCAGCGGAGATTGTTGACAACCGATCCTCAAACTGCTAGATATGCACTATTCCACATTAAGTCCAATATGCATTTAGATCCACCAACGACTCGAATGATCGTGTCGGTACTGTCAACTAGATATTGCATGGAGCAGATATTGAATTCACGATGCTATATGTTTGACTTCGACCCGTGTGCACACACGACCAGTCCTGGTCATCACTCGTTTATGGGTTGTGTCACGAAGGTATGCCACCGACAAAACGCATGTTTCAGCTTGCACGATCGAATTCCACGACGTGTGCATGAAATGTTTGTGTTCAAAGGGCAACTATTCATAACTTATTACTGGTGGTCCACTGTAGGTGAATGATTGATTCACCCAAGAGTGTCGTCCAACCAAGCGATCTAGGTTTGGACGACAAGTGCGTGTGATATTTTCCTAGCTTAGTTGCTATTTCATCGTTTCACTGAACTCCTCCATAAAATAGAAAGAAAAATGAATATATCATCATATCCACTATACGATGCAACTACCGGAGCGAGCCTGCCTGTGGAAAATAAGCCTAGATAAGCTTTATTCGGGTGTACAGCATTGCAAGGATCTGGCAGGACATCCAAACGAGGTGGAACGAAGCGTTTAATATCCTAAGATTGCGACGGTCGGTACATATGTGCTGGGTATCCTCGGAGAGACCACTGCGTTGTGCCATGCATACCGAGACAGATAGTGCTTGAATCGAGGTCAAGGGGTGGTCAAATTGTGACGTGGTATGGATATAGAAAAACTTGGAAGAGTGAACTTGATGGTCTGTGTTGCACGAGGCTTCTCAATGAGACCATCGTAATCGATGACAGTAGTATAAAAGCACCAATTCAAGTATCTAAGAATTACTCATGCTCAACGCCTTTGTTTGAGGAAGACTCTCTTGACTCTTGGTTCATTATTCATGGTTTCTTTATTTGCTGACTAGTTGGGTAGCTAAAAGGAACACAACCCAAAACGGACCATCGAAGTTCGGAGTTCATTATCATCACCAAACAACCAAATACAGGGAGTCTGTTTTCGGACAGAAGAACATGACGAGGGCCACCTGCTTCATCTAACCTCTTCCAGCAGTTCAACATATCTTGGTGGACATAACATCTGCTGATCTCCTTGTGACCCACTTCAACCTGGAGCGGAAACAGGGCACGATAAGGCGGCCGAGTGTTACGCTTGCGTAACACGTGTCCAAATAAGCGAAGCCCATTCATTAGAATTGACTGTGATGAGTTTTACTTCCACGTACTCTCATATACACGACGGATTACCTCGGTGCTACTAGCCAGCTCACTCTACTCCACCTGTGTACACCTGTTCCAATTGTGCTGGAAGTAGATAATGACACAAATCCTTTGTTAGGCGATTTGAACACGGTAAATTCTAATGTCAAGTTTACCTTGGAAACAGAAAAAATATATAAGTTTGCCACATGAAAACGGACTAGTATGCTGCCGGAGTGATGGGTCTGTTCCGGTATTCGTGTACAAGAAAACAGAGTATAACGGACACATCATTTATTTTCATAGTTTCCTAACATTAAAGAGAGAGGAGAAACTGAACGTGACGTTCGATTAATGGCGCGAAGAAGGTATGCAAAGCAAATATCATTGAAACTGCACTCTGATTCCTAAGGATTGTTATCGCACTAAAAGGTTATCCGGACCGGTTTATGGATAAGGCAGTGCAAGAACTGAAGAAAAAACCTAGAAGAATACGAGCCGTTCAGAAGCCTGTTCGTGGTCACTTGCCGTTCAGAAGAGATACGGAAGCAGAAATCATTCGAAAGAAAGCTCTAGGGAGTAGTGAATGGCGCGTGATACGCGGCGCAACTGAAGATCGCCTCCATACCCAAACCGATTATCTATTTCCGACTGAAGGGAAAAGTGATGAATTTCGAATTCTCATTCTGTACGTGTTTGTTTACATGTTCTTGTCGGTCCAGGCACTTGTTCCTACACAACCATGATCATCATCCAGTTTGGTTGAACACGGGAGTAACAGATAATGAGAACCGATATATGTGTGTGTGTTTAAACCCTAGTTGCATTTACCCACACGGTGGATGCAATAAAACCGTTTCGTCCCCATCGTAAAACATATGCAGTAGCGCATCCACGATGCCCTTCTCTCCTATCCATATGATCAGTTTGACATACAATCTCAGCTTAGAATAGTTATATGCATAAAATGTTTTCAATTGCGAAACTACCCATCAATCGTTTAAACTGCCCACAGTTTTGGCAACATCTAAGGGCAATCAGTGATCAAATGCAAGTGAGAGAGGAAATGCAGATCGACAAAGCTGGTAAAGCCGCGGCAGCAACTATCTTTGACATACGTGAAAATATATGAACTCCAAACCTTTTATTTGGGACAGTTTCAGTTTGCACAACCATTAACCATGCACTATCATGCGCCGGTTTTGATTGCTATCTTTCGGCTACCCATTTAGATGAACATTAGGAGAAAGACAGGAAAGGTTGAAAGTAGGATCGAAGAGAAGATTAAAAAGTTCAGTGGATTAATGATACAGAGCTATTCAGAAGATGCACGAACGCCACTGTTTACGACACCCAGCCATATCACTGAGTGTCTCTAACCGTCGGGTACGATATCCCGAGGTCCCCATCCAGGGAGCCTAACGGGACCTGTGTAACCTAGACTCCTGGTCACACAGGTCCCGTTGGGACAGAACGATCGACGCTGTAGACAGGGCAGCCAGCCAGCTTGACAATCCCGTCGACTGCACTCGTGTGCAGTCAAGTCTCTTGATTAATGTTTGCATGACAGTGCTGGGGGAGTTTATTCGATTACATGGTGAATTTCGTTATGTACAGAGCAAATGGAGCGTGAACTGAAAAGCTGCTGAGACCTGGTTGGGTTTCATCAATAGTGTAAACCCATCGATCCAACCGGGAATCGAACCCGGGACCTCAAGGGTAGAACTCAAGCATGCCACCCACATGACCGCTGTATAGAGTTCTACCTGTGAGGTGTCAGATTCGATCCCCAGTTGGGTCGATGGATTAACAATATCGGGTCGAAGCAGTTTTTCAGTGCCTCCCAGCTTTTCAGTTCGCGCTTCATTTGTTCTTTACACAACGAAATTCACTATTTCAGGATTAGTTCAGCAAACTATCAACCGACTAAACGTTAAACAATGTTGGGTGATGGAGTGACAGTAAATGAGGACAACACTATGCAGAAGGCCATCAAGTATGGAGTGTTGTATTGTTTGCGCAACAGGTCATAGTGTGACCTTAGTTTGAATCGATGCCAGCACTGGAAAGGATAAAACAAGTTTGAAGTCACCAAAACCTCTAATGTTTTAACTTCTAACCTTTATTTGGAGTACGCGAAATTTCCCAGTAAACAAAAAATTCATGGCGAATCGGCCAAAGCGAAATGACTAGATGTATCAGACAGCCTGTGTTTGTATTTTTGGTCAGGGGAGCCGAACGGATTAAGGTTTGGTATTTTGAGGCGAATGAATCGATCAAGTTGGTTTAGTTAAATTGCCAACCGAAATTAAGTTGAAGGGAGAAAAAACGGTAAAACAGTGCTACGCGAGGAAGCTGACAAATGTAAGCATAGATGGTACTGTGTGCTTTGTAACAGAGAGATTGTGGACCAAAACTTCAACAGAAAGCAGATATTCTGGGGACTGCAATCCAGTAGTCATCAGTGAACAATTCGAACT